AGAAATAATATTGGGAGGCAGGATTGTAATCTGGATGAACTGACTGCACTGATGAAGTTTTCAGGTGTATTTTCTCACTTAAAAACATATTAAAACTACTTTATTCCCACTGATCACAGCAAATATTGCTGCAAGGCAGAGAAAGGATAGTGAAGCTCCGCCCAACGCGCCTCAGACACACTTTTGCATCGCGCAGCCAGAGCAGGAAAGCTGCTTCAGCCGCGCGTCAGAACTAACTGGTACAAGCAGCAAAAATGAAGCAGCAGACGCAATTTTGCTGCTTTTGCAGCGTCCGGTGTGAACGTAGCGTAACATTAACCCCGGTCACTTCAGACGGGCTAACGTTAATGCAGACTGCCTCAGATGGGCTAACATTAGCCCCGGCTGTTGCAGACTTTTACATTTGTTAGATCTTTGATATAATTTTCAATTGTTTAGATTGATTTCTGTAGGGGACCCTGTGCCGTTTGATCAAGTGGGGTCATGACCCCGACTTTGGGAATTGGTCCTCTAGATTCTGGCCGTTCCTCAGTTAATAAGAACGCAAATACGGACTTGTGTCCTCGCCAAGTATGTTCCTGAAAAGAACACAGGAAAGCTATGCACACAGCTATGCTGAGACAGGCCTGCTGCAGATAAGCTAATGTTAGCCTCTGGTTGTCCTCTAAACATCTGAACTTTTTCTTAAATTACGCACTAAATCAGTAAATTGGCCATGCAGTCAAGCTTAAAGTATAATGTTCTCCCTTACATCATCTTAAAACGTACTTTTCTAGAACAACAGCAACAGAAAAGAGAACTTTTACTTCAATACTCGGAGCTCTGTGAGCGCTAGCCTGGAAGCTGCTGCTGCTGCAGTGCATGCTGGGACAGCTGTCAGTCTGGAGAACAGACAAGTCTGCTCTGATGCATGCTGGGTAAAGACGGTCTGCTGTTCTTGTGAATCGGAACAGTGCTGGGGCTGATGACGTTTCACGAGCAAACAAGAACGCACAAGTACCCACACTGAGAAACGTCCAATCACTCTCTTTCCATCCATGATGGC